CTGCATGGCCAACCATGGTTCAAAGCCCAGACCTGGAGGCTTGCTATCTCACTTTCCCTTTCTCTCTCTCTGTCCCTTTCTGGTCAAATTTAAATAAGTAAAAATTAACAAAATAATTATTTTTTTAAAAAAAGAATCACACTAGGGGCATGTGCGTGCATTCCCAGAATCCTGAGAGGAGACTGGAGGAGAAGGGATTGTCACGTGGCTATTGGGTGATTTCTCACTTTTCTTCTCTTTGTCTCTGTCTAAAAAAACCCTCTGGCAAGTGCAAACACACTATGGCAAAAAAAAAAAAAAAAAAAAAGAAAGAAAGAAAAAAGAAAGAAAGAGAGAATTATTCAAAAAATTGAATTGAAAATGAGAAGCAACCTATTTCTAGAGCAGTGATTCTCAACTCAGATGATTCTGCCCCCAGGTATATTTAACAATGTCTAGAAACATTACTGCTTGTCACAATAGGGGTTGCTAGCATCTATTGGGTAGAGGCCAGGGGTGCTGCTTAATAACTTAAAGTGCATAAGACAATCTACCAAGAAAGCACACACATACACACACACACACACACACACTCCACCACCACCACCAAAAATAACAACAAAAACAAGAATTATCTGGTCCTAATGTCAATAGTGTCAAACTTGGGAAACCTGGTTTAGATCATTCTTTAAAATTTAAAGGCTCTTCCAATTGATTTGGTTTTCACATAGATCAAGAGAGGTTTTTGAATAAGAGGCAAAAAAATGTAAAGAAAAATATTTCTTCTTTACAGTACGTTCTGGGAAATTAATAAAAATTTCATCTTGGAATTGGTAAAATTGTTAGATTTTCTTCCCACCTATCAGCTTTTTTGGAGGTTCCTTAAGAGCTCCAGCTGGCAGCTATGCCAATTAGCTGGAAAAAGTATACGTAAAAGAAATGATTAACTAATGAAGTTATTTCAAGAAAAATCCATCTGTTAAAATCAGCCTTGTGCTATATGTCACAGACTTCTCTCTCCTACTTCGAAACAAGCTTTGTGAGCTGCTCAGAGCTTGTACATGAAAAAGGGATCCAGGCTCTTTATGGGTTTTAGGGAGCCAACGCTT